AAACTCAAGAAACTTTTGTCCAAAAAATTATAAAAAATGATTTTATCTGGATGGTTTCTTCTTTTCTTTTGGATGGTTGGCATATATAGAAAAAATATTTATCAAACTTAGTAGGCGTTTGGACATGAATTCCAAAAAAAAAAAATTCAAATTTGGAATTTCACTAAAATTTGAATTGAAGATGAAGTTATGTTTGGTTATAATTTTTGCAAAATATTTGGATGTCTTTTTTTCAAAATCATGAAACATGATTATACCCCACAACTTGTAAAAAAACCAAAACCACCCTAATTTGATTATCCTACTTGAAATAAACAATCAAACATACTATTGTTTAACTGTTATCATATTCTGCTTTACTGCAATACACAGAAGATGCAAAATCAATATCACATTTGCTAAGATAGTCCGCTTCCCACTGCTATTACCATTGGTATCAAACATGTAGGTTAATAATTGATGAGGTAATTTTATAAATTTTAAAAGTATAGGGTAAATTTGTAAAATTAAAAACTAGCAAATTCTCATTTTTAATTGAAAAACTGGTAACAACCAGTTTTTCAAATTTGAAAATACATTTTCAAGTGAAATTGGAAAATTTGGGAAGATTTTGATAACCAAACATTGTTTTCAAAAAAAATTTGAAAAAAAAGAAAAATTTTGTATGTCCAAACGGGCTCTTATTATACATACGAATAAGAAGATCCACTATCTGTTTACTCATTTTGCTAAGAAGATCTCTTCAAATAGACTCGTCTTCCCAGCATAACTGAATGTAGCTATTCGCAAAAAAATTATAAATAATTCAAAAGGAACAAGCAACTATTACAGCGTGTTATACTTGAACATAAGCGTTGATGATATTAATAGAAAGAAATACAACATCCCAGGAGTTTCTGGAATGGAAGGTTACTCATTTTGGCAAGTACTTATTACACAAACATCTAAGTGCTTTTGTAGTCCGATCGAGTCGCTTCATTGTATCCTTAAACTAGTTTCAAATTGATGAAGTCCTTCTCACTTAGCTTACTGGAATTGGAACCAATCCTTTATTGATGTGGAGAAGGTTATCGCTAATTAAGGTTTTTTTTTTGTTGTTGATAACTTTGTATTTCCATACACAATCCTTATTTGATGTGGAGAGGGTAATTTTCTCCGCTAGGGTAGTGCTTTATTCCTCTACATGGATTTCCTAAGTGCACTCATTTTATTTCTTGTGATTTACTCTACTTTTTGCTCAAAGTGTTAAGAGTTAAATCTTCATAAATCTTTTATCCTACGGATTAATTTAACAATGGCTAGTAAATACATAATTAAAAGAACTAATTAATTACTTTCATCATTATTATTTTCTTAAAGATACTTATAGTTGTTACTATAAGTAAACTAGTCTCTTTCTTTAAAGATATAAATAATCACCAAGAGTTTGAGTCCTGGTAATGAAAAGAATTATTATATGAAGCACTTTCGTATTTAATAGGTTTTACAAGGCAGATTTGTATATAGGGTGAGAAATATAAGAAAATATTTAAATCAATCATTTCAAATGTCAAGATTTTTATAAAAATAAAATTTTCAAAATAACTCTGGAGGTTGGAATACTATCAGACTTCTCTATAGCAGTCGTCCTATATAATAATATTATACTATAAAGACCAAGTTTTTATAGAATTAATTTTTATGTTGTATTTTACCTTTCTATGGCAACTTTTTACTAACAATAACAACCATCTTTATAATATTACTCTCTTTTGTAAAATTACCCATTTATAACGGTCTATCTTAGAGAGATAAAATCTCTAAGATTTTCAATAATAGGTTTAGAGACTTGGCCAAATATTTTAAAATTTACCCCACTTATGACAAAGAATTACATGAGTATTAATGATTAAACATTTTATTTTGTTGAAAGATCTGCAAATATGTTTATATCATATCAAAAGATTTAAATAGTTTTTTATATTTATAAGTTAAAAAATAAATAAATTAATTTCTTGAATGATTTTTTTCTATAATAGCTAAATAATTTTTAACCGTCAAATAATATTATAGGTATACAACAACCAATCGCTTTAAAAGTCAAAACGATATCGGAACAAACGAAGTTGTTATAGATAGATTTGACTATATATATTGTCGATTAATTGTGTTTAAATTAAAATCAAACCATATCAAATATTATCAACAACAACAACATAACCAATGTATTTTTACAAGTGGAGTCTGGAGAAGATAATATGTACGCGGAATGTATCAAATCGGAAAAATATAATACCAAATCAAGCAAAAAAAAAAAAAAAACCCAACAAAAATAATCAATTCATTTAGTATAAGAATCAAGCTTTCACTAGGATTAAGAAATTTGTCCTTTTCTTTTTATATAAATCAAAGGCCTAAAGAAGTTCTTAAAAGTAATTCCTCAGTTCCAATTTGTTCAACGTCAAAACTACCCAATCTTTTTAGCTACACGGTTAAATACAATTTTAGAGTCTCCTCCCTTCAAATTTATTTGCTGTGGTCTAATTTTCTCCCTCTTTTCGGCATGTCCCAAAGTAATTAGTATATATGGTCTTAGAGTCCCCTTGTCCCCACTTAAGTTATTAAGTATTCCCAAAGACGAGGCGATTTTTTTTTATGTTGAAACTTTATGTCAGCCAGGGGACCCTGATCATAAATGGCCCGGTGACCTTGATATATATATATATATATATATATATATATATATATATATATATATATATATATATATATATATATATACACACGCCTTGCGGAGGCGTGATCTTTCTATTTCAACCCAAATACACCAAAGAAAGGGGTACATAAAACTTACCTCTGTGCCAAAGTATATAGTTATCCTACTTCGTTGCTGAATACATAACAAAATACATGATGGGAGGTATACTCACCATACTTCTATTTCATCTTCCAAAAAAGAAAAGAAAAAGTAATTTAGAATTGCATATTGATTCTTTCTTTGCTTGTGTCTTATGGATGCCATATTAGTTTTGTCCAGAATATATGTCTCAGCAGCTTCACAAGGAAGTTCTCTCACATCATAGAAAAACCATCTTGTTCCCCAATATTGTACTTAGCTAATGCGTTCGCTGCATGATTTGCTTCTCGATAACAATGATAGATGACACAATTGGCTTGAGCAAGAAGCTTCAAGAATAACATCCTTTAATTGCCAAGCTGTGTTGGTGGTGCCCTTGAGCATATTAATAATCAACAAAGAATCACACTCCACTATAAAATTCTTAAATCCCTGAGCGGTACACCATTGTACTCCTATTTTAGCAGTCTTTGCTTCAGCTAGATTACTACTACCTCTACCTAAGAATTGCACAAACATCATGATCAAGCACCCTCTCTTACTATACCTCCAGCTCCTGTAAGACCTTCTCCATTGTGACTGTCAACTATGTTGATTTTAATCCAATCTACCGGAGGTCTTTCCCATTTAACAATAATGCATTCAATCTTGTGGGAAAGAGCTAAACACTATTGGCAAATGCCTAGCCAGTGCCATAGCCTTTCTTTTTTGCTCTACGACTTTTTCATCACCCACCTCAAGTGATAAATATCTTGACAGATAAGTCTATTCTTAGATAGTTTTGCATTCCCATAGCCTTCCATATTTCCCAATAAATGAATATAGGAGTAATTTTGAGAATCTCCTTATGCAATCCATTTAAAGGTTTCACTGACCGTCATTTCGTTAATATTGTTTTAACAGAGACTGGTTCCCACGAAATCCCCAGAGCATTTCCAAAAACCTTCCAAGCATTTTGGGCTAGTTATCCTTCCATAAATGTATGTTGTATAGTCTCTCCTTGAGCCACTGTACAACAACAAGTAGAAACAAAATTCTGGCCAAATTTAACTAGCACTTGGTCAAAAGGTAGTTTATTCTTGAACAACCTCCATACAAGGAAATACATCTTAAAAGGGAAGTGTTTATGCCACAAATTCTGAAGTGAAGGTACTATCCCCTGTTTCTGTCTAGTAAGTTTCCAGGCAGAAGATGTTGAGAAATGGCCATCAGTACTAGAGTCTGGACTAGAAGGGTTCCCAGTAGGTATGTTGAGGATATGTTCAGCTAAATACTCTGGTAGATGCAAGTGTTCTATATTCCTAATGACATCTTGGACAAGCTGGTCCCTAGGGGTAATGTCATATGAAATGACCAATGCCATTGCTCCAATTATCCCACCACAGACTAGATGAACCAGAATTAACCTTCCATAGTAGATGCTCTTCTACTTTATCTTTTACTTCTATCAATTTCTTCCACCCATGTGATTGCCCTGCTCGCCACTTCCTATCAACTGGGTGTGAGAGTCAGCAATATTTGAACTTTAGAAACTCCACACATCTTACTCCATGGTATCTCTGTTTCCCTGAAGAATCTAGACATGTAGCTCTCTGTTCGTAGAAAAATAGACTCCATAGCAGCCAATAAGTAAACTGGTTGTAATTGTAAAACATGCTTAATAAGGACTGCCCTGCCTCCGACTGATAACAATTTCCCAGGCCACCCTTCTGTTTTCCTCGCTATCTTAGATACATAGTCATTGAAAGTCGAAATCAACTTCCTGCCAACATAAAGAGGACAACCAATATATATAAGGGAATTCTTTGTGTTTGTAGCCAGTGATATGTTTAATCCTTGCTATATCATTAGCATAGACGTTTGGTTTAACTAAAAACCAACTCTTGTCTTCATTGATCAATTGTCCTTAGCAATCTACATATTTCTGGAGTTGGAGCTTCAGCAACTTCAGAGACACCTGACATCTTGCTGGTATAATTTCTAAAAGTTCAATCCACTTTTTAATTTGTTCAAAGGCCATAACGAACCCATTTTGGTTGTTTGTTTTATGTACGACGTAGTGGTTTGAAACACATTCAAATTCAACATGTTTTAAGGCCGATCAGTCAATCTAATTTCTGCTAATAAAGTTCAACGACTAAAAAAAAAACAGAAGAAGAAGAAGGAAAAGCAAATGGTCTTGGAAAAACCAAGATGGTAAATTTTATCAAGAAGGTATATGCTCCAATCATTGTGCTCTACTGCTATCTCAGAGATTCATGAAGGCAGTAGTAAAAAACCAACCAAATCAACAGAAAAAAAAAATATATGTACATCAACATTCAAAATAGTACGTAGTAGGTACTACATTAGCTCTATACCAGTACAAAAAAGAAGATACATTTAACTTGATGGATCTCTGTGTATTAGTGATACCCAATTGGTGCTGGAGAGTCCTTGAGCTGTTGTCCCTGATAATGAATGTCCTGCAATCAAAACCATAGAAATTAGTTAGTCAGGACTTAAGAGCAAACATCAAGCATATTTAATTAATTAATTAGAGTTTGCTATATAAACAGTTTATAACTGTTTTGTGTTAATCCAATATGTAAGTTAAAATTCTTACAGATGCAAAGTGGTTGACATCGCGGTGATGAGCCTCGTCAGCCCTAACAACCAAGACAACATCACGGAGAGTGGAGTCTTTAGGGAGACGCCAGTAATCAATGGCAATAGCAGGAGCAGGGACGTTCTCAATGTTACCCTTGTCCAATTCCTTGAGGAACTCAGTGTAGGAATGAATAGCCTCTTCTTCCAAGTATCCAACGATACGATGAGCCAACTTTGGAGAAACAAGGTAAGTGACAAAGTAGGCGTTGAAGAAGACGCCTTGCACTGCAAAGACAAGTGCACGCTCGTACCAATTAGGCTTGGCAACTTCCATGAAAGTCATTAGATGCATCCTCTCATTTTCAGCTTCTTCTAACAGTGCTTTGATCCATCCTCCACTCTGTTCGAATCGCCTCAGTGATTTGCAGTGCAACAACATTCCTCCCACCATTCCAGGCACTGCAGCCACTGTTTCCAACATCATTGCTCTACAACCATATCTCCTCTGCATGCACCACATTAATTAATTATATATAACCACACTAGCTAATTAAGTAGGTATAAAATAATTTGTGGTAATAATTAATTCCACATCCACAATATCATTCTTGCCCATCCGATGCTTCATTTTCAATGATAAAATATTCAAGTTGACTATTTTTTTATATATGTTGATAGCATAAAAAAGAGTTATTCTTGAATCTGGATCTATAACCGAGTAAAATTACTTAAAACTGATCCCTTTATTTGTTTGTTTGTTTTTTCTTATTTGCTTTCAATTAAAATTTACCACAGAAGCAACTAGTACTATTTTTATTTCTATAAACTATAAGAAAACAATCTAATTAAATTCTTCGGAAACGGCATTAAAAGCTTTTCTTTTAAGAGCTAGCCAAATTATAATTCCAAGATTCAAAATAAAAGGTAAAAAGTAGAGTATCATAGCCTGAAATAATAATAATAACTATAATAATAACAATAATTATTATTATTATTATTATTATTATTATTATTATTATTATTATTATTAAGCTCTAAGCAATAATCCAAAATTCTGGGAAAGGTAACTGAACTTTTTTTCTCCTCTAAATTGGGTGAGAGCCACCAAATTTGTTCGGACAAATAACGTCATATTCAAACAACCAGAAACACAAATACAAGAAGAAAAAAAAACTTAAATACCTGAAAAAATATATCAGTGGGGTATCGGAGAGCCTTAACAGTCCAATAAGCAAATTTGTCCAAGAAAGTGGTTGGCGCGTGGTGTTTCGTCAGATCTATTGTCAAATCAGCCTTGTACGTCTCCCATGGCTACATCCCACAAAATAAATCCACCATTAAATTCTCTAAAATCTCGACAAATTTCAAAAAGAAAAAATCAGAAAATATGTGAAAAGCTAAATTACACTTACCCTAAAGCAATTCCATTTCCATTCAGTACCGTCCTCTTTAGTAACCTTTGAAGGCGGAACACCCCAATAACTCACTACTGATTTCTCATCACCGCCATCACCGCCGCCAGATGCGGCGGTGCCGCCATTTTCCACTTTCTTATCGTGCTGCTTATCATTCAAAGCCATAGTACTAGCGCTGCGTGAACCCATCACTGGAATATGCCTAACCCACGTCAGCAACGCTTTCTCCGATGGATTCACCGGAACCCCATGCATGAAACCGGCGGCGCCAGTCATAACCCCGGTTCCGGCGTCATTTCGAAGAATTGCAGTGGAGAAGTAACGTGGACCCATGTGACCCATCACAGTTCGGGTCATCCTTGTCGCTCCACGTATCATCATCTTTAATAACTTCGATCAAAATTCAAGAGTTGCAGGAAGTTTGGAAAGAATCTTGGGGAAGAAGGCAAGAGGTTTTCTTTTTGTAATATTTCTGTTTTCTTTTTTTTTTTTGTGTTGTGTGAAGGGTTTACGAAACATGCTCCTTTTATATAGGGTGACATTTGTATATTCTCGCTTAATTTAAATTGTTTTTTTTTTTGTTTAGTTTTTGTTATGCGGTTGGTTCGCTCAAGCTTCGCGTGAAGACTGTGTGGGACCGACGGTTACGTATATTTTATTAATTTATGGCGGAAATTTCTTTTAGCGTTTGAGATATTTTGAGATGTGTGGTTCCGTAAATTCTGGAGAAACCTCAAATGACTAAAATGACCCGTGCCACAACTTGAACTTGAAAAATCTAAAGTTTAGTGATTTTGTTCAAGTCAAATCAAGTATGTTGAATATGACTAGAAAGTCAAGTCATAGATTGAATACTATTAACAACAAACTTTTGTGGTGTATGTTTGCTAAAAGTATGAGTTTCTTATACCATTATTATACGTATAATCTCTGATTGACATGCGTTGATATTTTCTTTTATGTATGAAATAGAATATGTAAATAAAATTACAACAACAACAAACCTATTGAATTTTCACAAGTGAGATCTGGGAAGTATAGTGTGTACACAGACTTATCCCTATCCTAGGAGGGTGAAGATGCAATTTTCAATAAACCCTTGACTAAAAAAAAGATTAAATTAAGCAGTGGCAACAAGCAATAACAAAAAAAAAATATTAAGAAAATTGAAGCGAAAGATAGCAATCAAACAGTAGATAGTAATAGCAATCCGCGAATAAAAAAGATAACATTCTAACATTAATATTACTGGTATGAAAAAAACGCTTGACTACCTACTAACCTTCTACCGTAATTCTCGACCTCTACGTCCTCCTATCAAATGTCATATCCTCAGTAAGCTTAAGCGTTACGACATTACTTGCCTAATAACCCCTCCCCAATACTTCTTTGACATACTTTTACCTCTTCTCATACCAACCAAGGCCAACCTCTCATGCCTCTTAACTGGGTATTTGTGTTTCTTCTCTTCACATGCCCCAACCATCTTAGTCTCACCTCCCGCATCTTATTCTCTACGGGGGTCACTCCTACTTTTCCTCGAATATCTTCATTCATAATTGTATCTAACCTGGTATGCCGCACATCCATCTCAAGATCGTCATTTCAATTACTTTCATCTTCTGGACATGAGAGTTTTTGACTGGCCAACACTTTGCTCTATACAACATAGTTGGTCTAACCACCACTTTGTAGAACTTACTTTAAAATTTTAGTGGCACATTCTTATCGCACAAGATACTAGATTGCGAGCCTATATCAATTTATTTGTGAATAAAATTGCTTATCTATTTCAGTAGTGAATGTATGGAGTATAACTTTATGTTCAGCTAAACTAAATATTTTTGACATAGAATATTAATATGTGGAGTATGTGATAATAACTAAAACTTTAATTGAGTAACTTCTAAACTAATAATTTTAAATATACGATGAGTTCATTGCTAAGCACTTCGAAGGATGTCCTAGTTGAAATTAAATCCATGTGATTATAGGTGATAACCCATAGTTTGGTTTTAATTAGTTACATTATTGAGGTGAAAGATTTTGATGAAAACAGCATGCACCTTACGGAAATTAATGTGTCATATAAAATGTAAATGCTGATGAAAACTCAATAAATGCATAGTATGGTGGTCAAATAAAATAATACAAAACTCCAAGGGCTTTTCTGGAAATTAATGGGGAAAGTACGCAAGTAGCTTTTCGGTCAATTTCGTGTTTTGCTTCTCTTTTTCTTTGTAAAAAAGTACGTCTTGGGGAACAAGTAATAGGAGGTTTCGTGAAGGGCAAGAGTTGGTCCAAAGTCATTGAATCATGCATTACCATTAAGCTTAGGCACAATTATTATTAATTTTTCTTTATTAAGCACAGCTAGTTTCAATACTAGATTTGGTAATTTCTTATTCGTAGTTGCCATAATAAGACAGAGAACAGCCAAGCACCCAGAAACGGCTATAATTCCGCCACGTCATTGCACCTGTCACCATGAAATTCTTTTGGTTTTCTACTAGTACTGGATCTAGTATTATACTACATAAAAATAGGTTAAACAAAATTAAATTAAATCCCCACCTATTATATAGAGATTTTGGGTGAGCTGGGCAATATTTTTTTTAGGGATTTTTACTTAGTTATACTATATTAGAAATTTATTAACCACTTTTCTTTAGGTTTCTTAAGAATTACATTGTGTATCTATATTTCTATTTATGTACAAAATATGATAAAAGAAGGATCCCTTAAATATAGGAATTAATTTGTAACGTATCTCCCATCCCCATCTATCAGCTTTAGCCTCCTACAATCATTATTTTCTTCCTAATTTCAAAATTTTTAAAGTCATTCTCTCTTTCATACAAATCCACCAATATATCTCTGTCATACAAATCAAACTATTATCTTTCTAAAATTGTAGTATCATATATTTTATGAATCAATTCCACCAACAACCATTAAAAAGCTTCAACTATTGACAAATCCATCGACATTATCTCTGAAATTGCAGGTAGAGAGATCTGCCATTGACATACCATTAAAAAGGTTCGAAACTTTGAATTAGATATTCAGATTTTACGAATTTGTGATTTCTTTGGATTGGGTGTTCTTGAATACGCTTGAAAATATCCTTTAGAGTTTATATCTCAATTTGAAGGGAGATTGGTTAAGTTTAAAGTTGATTTTAGGTTGAATTTCAGATTCAAACTCGAGAAGAAGAAGTTTCGGAATCGTATTACGATTGTATGATAAATATATCATAATTGTATCTGAGTTGTATTTGATACATCAATACCTAAGATAATTCTGATACAATATTAATACTATTAAAATACAATATTTTATCATAATTTAAGTTTAGGGTTGGTTCTAGGTGGATGTTTTAAATTGAAACTTGAAAAAGATGAAGATCAAAAGTTGTATCATAATTTAGAATTGTATCATAATTGTATCACAATTTGTACCAAAAACAATACATGATACAATACTAATACAAGTATGATACGATATTATATCAGTTTAAGTTTAGAGTTTGTTTTAAGTTGTATCATAATTGTGTAAGAATTCTTTCAGGATTTAAGAGCAGTTGTGAGTTCGTGACAAATTTCACATTTTGTATCACAAATATATGATAGTTATATATTAATTTATTAGTATTGTATCAGGTATGATTTTGGATATTAAGATACCATCTACAAGTTAGATACAATTGTGATACAAGTATGATACAATTATGTTTTACGTATTGATGTGTCTGATACAATTTAAATATAATTATGATACAGTTATCATATAATTGCTGAATATTTCTTCATTTTTAGTGTTGTCCGGTCTCCCAACAGAAGAACAATGCAATTGATGATTTAATAATATAAAGCTATCGGCAATGGTAGGAAGAGAGAAGATGAAGATTCTGAGCGTAGATTAATGGATTTTGTTGTAAAAAAAAGAAGGAGAGAGAAGAGGAGAGGGAAAAAAGAGGAAAGGATATAATTGGATCCCTTAATTGAAGACGGTAATAATGAGGTGAGAGCCTTTTAAGGAGCAATCTACACAATTTGTAAGAAAAACCTAGATACTTATTAAAAAGTACAAAACATAGAGAACATTGGTAAATAAGTTTCTAATAGAGTATAGCTAGGTAAAAATCCCATTTTTTATAACTTGATTTGGAAAAGACCTTCAAGTTTTAACTATTATAGACGTAACTTTTTTCATTTTTTTCAGAGTCAATTACTCAAATGGTCACTCAACTATCCCAAATTAACTCCTAAGGTCACTTTTCTTTCGTTTGTAACAACAAAGTCACTAACTATTGCACTCAGAAGGTCACTCAACTAGATTTTCCAAATTTTGGATTGTCAAATACCTATTTTACCCTCTAAATTATACTCCATCCGTTCCAATTTATGTGAACGTTTTGACTAGGCACGGAGATTAAGAAAAAATGAAGACTTTTGAAATTTGTGGTCCTAAACAAGTCAAAAAGGGCCCCAGAGTATTTGTGTGATTATAAAAGCTTCTCATTAAGGGTAGAATTGTAAGTTTAAGCTAAATTTTTACCAAATTTAGAAAGGGGTCTGTCACGACTCGGATTTTTCACCCTCGAAATTTGTGATGGCGCCTACTAGTGAAAGCTAGGCAAGCCAATCAACTGAATTATTTGCCTTGTTTCCAATTTTTAAATTCGTTAACAGTCATAAACCAACGATTAATAATCAACAAAATTTAACAAGCGGAAGACTTAATCTCAAATTTAATAATACTACTAATACCATTCCATAACAAATCTACCCAAGACTGGTGTCACAACTTCACAGATTGTCTAAGATTACTATAACTAAAGGTCTGAAAGAAATAATACAACACTATCTCTGGAAATACAAGAAGGAAACAGGAATAATAGATAGAAAGAGACGCCAAGGCCTGCGGATGCCTGCAGGACTACCTTGGGTCGCTTGATATACAAGAAGCAGCAATCTCACTGCGGTCCAAAATCTACAACACTGGGATCTGCACAAAAGAGTGTAGAGTGTAGTATCAGCACAACCGACCCCATGTGCTGGTAAGTGCCTAGCCTAACCTCGGCGAAGTAGTGACGAGGCTAGGACCAGACTACCAAAATAAACCTATGCAGTTAAATCATATACATCGGAACAATACAAGTGGAAATGTACAGCTAAGGATGGGAGGGGGAAACATGCTGCGGGGACATCGAATAATAACATAAGAACAACGCATAAATATAAAGATCACCACAGTTCAATTGAAGATAGGAAGGGGGATCATGCTGCGGGGTACAACAAGTATCAACAGAAAACCAACAATTAAATGTAGAGAAATCATAACTCAGTCATCAATACCTTCGTGCTTTAACACTCTCTCACCAAAACAATCCATGGCATCACCCTTCGTGCTTTAACACTCTCTCACCAAAACCATGTACGGCGTCACCCTTCGTGCTTTACACTCTTCCTCACCCAAGGAACAATCACAAAGCAATTTTGGGCAAGGGAATC